CCCCCAGTCCGGGCAAGAGGCGGATGGACACGGACGTGGTCAAGCTGTATCCTTCGTGGAGGGGGGATCCGGGCTGTATGTGGGGGGCGGTGTGGGGATGCCCAGGGCAACCCCTGAAACCTAAGCAGGGGCCCAGGGGCACTCCAGGCCACTGTCCGAGGCTTCCTGCCTCCTCTCCCTCCCCCCAGTGCCTACGGAGGCTCCTTGGCACCTCCCAGGAGCCGAGAGCCTTCTCAGCTCCCCCTTTATCTGCAGCGCCCCGAAATTTGGTGGTTCCACGCTCTTTCTGCACCCCTAATGCTCATGACTTTTATCCACGACGTTTTGACTCCCAAGACGGCTTTTTTTTTTTTTTTGGCAGGACCGGCCACCTCTTTTCACTAGCGAGCCCACCTTTTTCCTGTTTGCTCTCCCTGGATTTAGGGACTCGAGATAGAAATTCCCAGGAGTGAAGCCTTTCTCCTTTTCTTGAAATGCCTCCATTCCCTCCACTCACAATGCTTCTTGAACTGGGGTAACTCAAGTGACCTCCTTTATCCCTAATTCCTTTCTATATTAGGAAGAGAGTAGTCTGCTCGGTGCACCCTCTTGCAATAAAGAGCTCTGAGTGTTTTAAATCAGAGACCCTTATTAAGGTCTCTGGTCCCTAGAAGAACCCCACTGTTTTTCTTTGCACCGACAAAGCCTATCCCACCCATAGTTGTATGTGATGAGGACCCCCAGGCCCTCCAGCAAGCCACCCTCCATATTGTGGCAATGACAGCTAGGGGGAGGGAGAGAAAGAGGATCTCCTTGACAAAATAGCCCCTGTACTAACCACTTAAGCAAACTCCCTGTATGGGAATAAGGTTTTGGGGGAATAATTGCCCTGATCTTGCCAAGTGACACCCTTTATTTTCCTACCCCCCGCAACTTTATGTACTCTGGAGGTAGCAGTGGGTAAGCTATAACTGATAAGAGTCCTTCAGGCAGTGGTTTTGGTTGGAGTCCAGACTGATTATTTCATGACCAGCTAGAGAAATTCGCGAAGGTTCCTGTGACAAATCGAGACATTTTTTGAGGGGTAATTTAGAGGGTGGGGGGAAGAGAGGAAATGAGCCCAGTGTTCTGAACAACTAATCCCTGGGGAGAGGGGGAACCGGGGGTGGGGAGTGGTAGTGTGTGAAACGCAGTTAAGAAGTCCTGTCTTCTGCTTCTCTTTCTCCCTCACCCCCATCCCCCCACCATTTCCCCCTGTTGCAGGGTTTTGTTTATATAACTCAAGTTGTTTGGCTAGATTCTTCAGGTGAATTCCTTCTTTCTTCCTTTTATTGTTCCTGTTTTTGATTGGATGTTTTACCTCTTTAAAGAGATCGATGATTATTGTCAAATACTCAGTTATGGAATTCGCTGAAGTTTTTAAAAAGTAGTTTTTGCATTCGGTTTGGAAGTGGGGGATGGGAGGGAAGTTTCCTGGGCAAGTGATTTTTTTTTTCCCCCATAATCTTTTCAGGAATAAGGTGTTTTTCTCTTCGCTCAGGAAAACTTGATTAGAAATTAGGCACAGAAGAGGAACTTCTGAGTTTTAGGGTTTGAAGTTTAGAATTTTGGGGGATATAGGAGTGGGGATTGGAAAGAGGAACGAGTAATAAAGTATGTATTATGTACCAAATATATGTCTAGGGACAAGTGAAACTGACTGTAAGCTGTTTGTGGCCGTGATTGAGTTTTGTAAATGTGTAAATGATACCAGTAATGTTGGCTTTTCATAAGGTGACAGGAAAACTTGTAACTATGGCTGTGTGTACATTTTACACAAAGCAGTTTCGGGTTTTATTTTTGTTTAGAAACTAGGAAATGACATGGTGGCAGAACCTGAGTTATTTTTATCTTGAATTGAGACTTACTGTCACACCTAATGCAGATTTCTACCTAATGTTTAATTGGGTGGGGGTGGGAGAGAGAATTCTAGCTGTCTTTGATCAATGTCAGATTCTCAAATTATATACTTATATATTTTTAGAAGACTGAGGATAAAGGGTGAGGCCTAACTTGACCTGATGCCTTTTCCATACAGTGCCTTTTGTTCATTTAGTAGTTGTGGCATCTAGAATGATAATCGTATTTAGGAGTGGGGTGTGGGGGGTGGAGAGGGAGAGGAAAACAGACAAAGAACAGCAGGGTGTCTTTCTTTTTTTTCTTCCCCTAAGTGGCTTATTTCATAGCTTATTTTTAGTAGAAGATGAAGAAAGGCAAAGATACATTGGCCTTCTGTTCTTTCCCCACCTTCCTCCTTTCTGACAAAAGAAACCAGAGGCGCTTTAAAATCGTGGGTGTCTGAGATAGGAGAACAGTCTCGGGATTTAAGAGCCAGATGTTATCTTTGTTTCGGGTTTGTTATTTTCTGGTGTAAGTTAAATTTTCTGTTATTTCCTTTTGTGTGTGTTGTGGGGGTGAGAGATTTTGTGGCCTCCTTTCTCTGTTGAATTCACATTAGTAGGCCCAAATGGAGACCACAATTTTTGAGCAAGGTGTATTTAGCAAAACATTTAAGGAAAAAATTCCCCAACCCACTACTAAAATGAATACACTTGTGTGGAAATGCCGAGGGTTGAAAATGAAAGATGGTGGAGAGGAAGTAGGAGAGGTCTGAAGGAATGTACTTGCTTTTTGCCCCTCAGTGCCCCTTGATGATTTCTTTGGTGTGGAAGCTGATAGCTGGTTTCATTGCAACCTCTTGTTTCAGCCCATTTTTGGATGTCTCCTGAGCATAATTATGCCACCACGATTTACAGCCTGGCAGGGAACCTATATAGTAGGAAAGTAGCAGTGTGGGGGTAGGGAGAGAAGAGGATGTGTAAATAATTGGCCACTGCCTTCCACCCCTAGTTAGGTTTTTTCCGAGACACCGTCTCTGGTTGTTGTTTGGAGCCAGTGATATTTCTTTTGTGATGGGTTGGTAGGAGGAGAGCTGACTCCCAAGTTATGCAGGGAGTGAGTGTTTTGCACCAATGCACTTAATAATCTGCTGGGCGATTATGTTCTGAAACTCTGACTCATTCATTGTTTCTTTTCTGATCCTTTGCTAAGGGTTGTGCAAACCTCTTCAGGAGCCTAGAAACTGATGTACATGACTTTTGGGCCCCGTAGGAATGTGTCCCAATCAAAAAACTTGCAGTGAACCCAACTCCTGTGGAATGGTGGGTTGAATAGTGTTGCCATTTGTTTGCAAAGTCAGGTAGATGGGTGATACTGTGCAGTTCCCAGCCTGGCAAGCTTTGAGGTTTCCATCTCAAACCCGGCTGATTATTTGGATTGTCTGAGAACTGGGACTCTGGTGACCTTAAAGCGTGATTTGCCCTAAAGGAATATCGGTTTAAGTTCTCCTGGGTGGAGGAACAAACAGCTCAGATTACACAGGTTTCCTTGTTAGTGGGGGTTACTTGTCTCACCCTGTTGCACAGCCTAGTGATCCTTTTATCTGTGAACCAGTGGCCCCTGCTGAAGGCTAGAGCTGCTTGTTTTGGAAAGCGTATGCAGGCAAAAGGCCACAGGCACAGCTCCTCACAGCTCATTGGCTGCTCTGTTACTACCCGGAAAAGGAGGAGGGGCGGAGCTACCAAACAGCTGATGGAGTGTGTGACCAGAGTGTGTTTACATACAAAAGAAGTAGGGGCTGGGGAGGCCTTGCGAGTGGTGTTACTGGATCAAGCATATTTTCAAGGGGTAAAAAGAGGAGAGGAAAACCTGACCTGGGAGAGTACAAGATATGTTCAAGAAAAGTGGATCTGGTAATAATGGGGGCTTGGCCTACACTGTGTGTGTTACTCGTGTGAGATTTTGGAACTTCTATAACACCAAGAGTTTTCAGAGTCCCTTTTTCAGAGGGAGTGTGGTTACTTGAAACAGGATAGCCACTGCTTTAAATGTATTTAAGTGACGCCTGCAGGGATTCAAAAGTATGGCAGAAGTGTAAGTTTCTCTTGCAGAAGCTTCAAGAGTAATGGTTAGAGAGGAACAATGTCTTATGCTAAAGTCATTAACAGCATTAGTGAATCTTACAGGATCCTGGGTGACTGCCTTAGGGTTTCAGAAGCTTTCAGTAACAAGTTCATCCCCTCAGATGTTTCTGCACCCTGTTTGTGCCAAGCTTGGGGTGGCAGATAGATGCTGGGGGTTTAGTAGTGAAAAACTCAGTGTGTGTGGTCATGATGCTTATGTAACTAGTTAAAGAATTTTTTAAACGTCAAAGTACAGGCTTTTTATAGCAGGTGAGCACTGTATGTATCATTTTGTTTTTTGAATAACTTGTATTTACTTTGAGAATTGACTTTCCAAAGAATAGAAAGGTTAAAGTGACTTACATGATGAGATGTATGGGGATCTATATTCCTGTTAGTTAAAAAACTGAAACAAAAACAAACATTAAAATGAGTAGCCATTTGTCTTTGACTTCAACTTCAGTATTTTGCTGTTAATCGGTAGTTTTTCTATCCCTAGGTTGGTAGTCTTTGTTGCTCTTTAATTTGTGCTCAAAGTGTAGACTGTTCTGTAGTCTTTTAACTAACTCCAGTGACAGTTGGGAACCAGTGGTTTGCCTTTTATTTCCTGTGGCCTCTGTTTTAGTGGGATGAGAAGGAAGGTGGAACAGTTTTATGGTCTTCAAGCTTAAAGTTAAATCTTTGGCAACTCCCAGTGTTCTGAATTCGTCTTCTCTGCCTAGATTTTGGTGACAAATATAACATACTGGTACTTATTTTGGTTAAGCAGAACGTACATGAGTAAGCATTCACAGCTTCAGAACATCTGATTCCTGCAATGCAGTTCTAGTAAATTACACACAAGCCTAAAAATTCAGCTTTTAGGGGAGAACAATCTTTTGCAGATGTGATCCATAAAAATCCCTTACCCTGGTTTGTGTGTGTGTGTTTTAAGAACCTGGATTTGTTGGCTTTCTAGTGTTGTGCAAATTCCCCAGCACCTTGACCTGCATTTTATATCTATGTATGTATATAATTATATATATATATATATACATATATATTTTTAATTTAGTATCTTGTTTCA